TGTGACACCACATAATAAATTTTAAATATAAAAACCCCTAGCCCTTGTTCATGCACATACCAAAAATGAGCAAAATCCGTTGAACCTGAACTGACTAATGGCAATTCCCATTTTTGGAAAAAAATTGCCGTGGCTCGAAAGTACGTCGACTGGCGTGCTCCAAAATAGGACGTTTAATATGAGAGCATAGCAGTAACAACTATACCCAATTTCAAACATGTGGGTCAAACGGTTCTTAAGTTATCGTTGACCGTAGCCAAATGTTGACGGACGGACGGGACGACCCATGGTAATAGCTCAGCTTGACGATGTCAAGGCGAGCTAAAAATCGGTAAAAATTTTCTTAAAACCTTGAGAGTATCCTTAAGTTAAGGTGAGAATGTTCCCCCTTCTTTTACACCTCTTTACCTTTGACCTTTGACCCCCAGCTTCGACATCCCAACTCGTTTTCGGATTACCCCCCACGTCCCGAATATCGTGACCGTACGTCGAGCGGTTAAGATTTGTGCCCAACTGTTGACGCACGTACGGACGCACGCACGCACGCACGCACGCACGCACGCACGCACGCACGCACGCACGCACGCACAATCATGCGATTCTACAAGGTGCATCCGACTATGTCAGATGAGCTAAAAACATGTGTATTTCATATATGTATGTTTTATATGTATATCCTGCTTATATCAGATGTTCCTTCTGAACCCTTATATTTACTTAATACTAACCAACATAGAAGAGCCATTTGGCAATTTCCGACTTGCAACTGAGACTCTGGAAGTAGACATGAATGGTTTCATCTAGTAGAATACTCTGTAGCTGATCTACAAGAAAAAAAACCTTTCTGTTACTTTGTATCAGCTATGCTGCTTACATGGATACACAGCAATACATTCAAGCCTTTTAGTGAAAATATTAAAAGTATCCGCAATGTTGCTCATACTTTGCAAGTAAATAGATATTTTTTATTTTATACCATCTTTTACGTATATGTATTAGCAATAACAGTGTATGATATAAAAATACTGCAGGTGATTACTTGGAAAAACCTGTAGTAATTTTTAATAGCAGCAGAAGAATACAGCCCACATTAATTAGCGAAATGTTTCAAATTTCAGACAGTCACTATTGTTCAAGTATACAGTGTAATACCTGCTGATGCAGAAGCCTCCTCTAGTAACCTATCAAATGGTCCATCATGAAGGGTAAACCCACACGATTTCAGTGATAAGGTGGCAGATGACAATAGCTACATGCAAAAGAAATGTTTTTTGCATGAAAAAAGCTAGCTATATCAGTCAACAATCCTCTATCAGAAACCGTTGGGACAGCTGTGTCTTTGCTATTCACAATTTTTTGAATCTAAGGTATTAAAATACACACAAAGTAAATTACGCTAACATCCTAGCCAGAAATGTCACAGGACAATGTAAGCAAATACATCCAATTATTATTTTTACAGTAAAAACCTTAATTGTCAAGATTCAAACTTAGGGAGATATTATTAGTTTATTTGTACAACAATAATTGAAAATGAAATGATTGGATTAACATAAACCAGAAATTTCAGTTTTCAAGGTTTTTAAATTTATAATTTTGGATTTCTTGAATATTGCTGTGATGTAATTTCAGTTTGTGTGAGAATCGTCGACGAAGAATCATTGACATATTTTAGAGATTGACAGTTATGAACCATTTATATCCAAAATAAATGAGACACATTAAATATATTTTACCTTGAATGCAGCATGTTTGTCGTAGATTGCTTCTCCTGGGGCATCATCTTTTATTTCTGCTTTCTGTGCTGTTAACTAAAATATTTTATTACTACTTAAATAACATAAACACGCGCACACGCACACGTCGTACACATCATACACACACAGACACACGCATACACAAACACACGCACACATGCACACACAAACACACAAACTCAATGCCTCGTTACGTTTATAAAAGCCAACTACAAAGCCAATGTTATAATATTTAAATTAAATTATATGTGGAACCACAAGACCAGCAGACATATATCTACTTCTGCACCTCGTCCACATAATGCTTTATATTTTCAAGCTTGTTAACCACTTAATAAAACACTAGGACTTACCATTTGCAGTCGTGCTACGTCCACTAGAGTCTGCATGTTTCCTGCAGTAGGTAATGTTGCAGGAATAATTGGGCATTTTTCTACTCCTCCCGTTGCAATAAATGCCTACACATAAGTAAAACGTCTATGAGCATAGCAAACTCAAACTCATCGTAAATCATGCACTTATTTTTATCAATGTACCCTGATTTACATACCATAAATCCTTTGATATTCCTTAATTGCTAACAGCTGTTTACTTACTGTGGTAATCCCAACACATTAATGTTGTAGTCGGCTCAATTTATATGTCTCAGTGTAAACTGACCCAATTTACCCATGTATCGCAGCCACTTGTGAAATGTATAATTGAGTCCAATAAGAAATCGGGGATGATTTGACAAGTTATCCAACATGACTTTTTACTATTGTGGTATGTATAGTATATTTTAAAAAACGAGTTCACAATTAGGCAACATTAACAAAGTTCATTTTACCTGTATCTCGGCTTCTTTTGTGTGGATTTCCTGGTTTACATCTTTCTTCCTCTTTTCTGCCACCAAGCTGTCGAGATCATACTTGTAGTCGGAATGATTTGATTTGCTATTTAAACAAATTAAAATTACTACATGGCATGTTTGCGCCAGTGAACTTGATATCATAACCATCTTTAATATGCATATAGAATTTATGCCTGATTGCAAGGGCTAAGAAAGTTATTACACCAATCAGGGTTAAATTATAGCTGAATGTTACACACATATATGTACAAGGAGTAACTGTATAACTTATAATATTATATACATAGTAAAATGAATAGCATAAGACCTTCACTGCGATACAATCAACGTACCTGAATGACGTGTCACTTTTAGAGCCGAAATCAAAATCAGGCAGATCATCATCACTGCCGACGGGACCAGTACTATGCTTACCATTGGCGTGTGTTGCCATTTTCGTTATTGGATTACCTAGCAAAAAATAAACCTTTACATTCACTCATTCATAGCTGAAGCTATCATAGCAAGGAAATTGAGAGCACACTTGAAGAGATGACGAAGTTGTGAAAAAGTATGACTAAGAAAAACTATTGTTACGTTGCCTTCTTCTGTTACTTGTTGGTGTCCACTTTACCAGATATGGTTACAAGATAGTTATATAATTATACTATAGTGCATTCAGAGAGTGAACACAAACTACAAACATGTGGATAATAAACCATAATTAAGAGCTGCAAAGGTCTTGCAGCATTCCTCCCAGGCCTTTAGCACACGGGGGCCCAGCATATAAACTGAAGCTAATTTGTGACATAAATCATCCAAAATGGTTTAATTGTCATCAACATGCCTAATTTTCAGCTGTTCACTTTTGAAAAACCCCAAACAGTCATGCTGTGTTTTCACAGCTTGACAGATATTTCTCCACACTGATAGAGTTTACCTGTGCATTGGGGCCAATTATGGTACGATACACATATTACTGGACATGCAACCCTTGCATTTGACAATTTTTATTGCGATTCACCAAAAATCCTTAGGATTTTATTTTAAGGGCAGTGAGAAGGCCAAACTCATGAGGAGATGGGGTTGATGTAACAACCACCAGTGCTGGATTGCACATAAAGAATGCTGACAATGCTTTGTTCGGACAGGGACGTGTGACTGGGTTTGTTCCGTGGAGATAGGATAGCAAATTGTCTTAGGAGAAAATGTTTTAGCAGATGGCTAGACCTGTGAATTGTCACCCGCTGGAGAGGTGAGTGCTCGGCCTACTAGAGACGTGATTTGTCACACATGGTCGAAGTCGCTGGAGGTACGTTCCGTACGTAATCCGTACCCCATTAGACACTTGTTTTGTAATAATATTATTAACGACACATTGCCATTGCCATTGGGTTGTAGTGGCTAGTGTAGTGGATTCAAGGATGTATTAGGTGATCACAATTCATTGTGTACTGTAATAAGTGTGGTACTGATTTATGGTCAGAGTAGCGTTTAAACCACCATATCGTAACTTTCGTAAATGTGGGGCTACACCCCTCAAAATTGACTGAGGCCTTCTTCAGGGTTTTGTCTAAAAATTTCTAGCAACAAATTAGCTCCAAGAAACGGTCTTGCTAGGGTTAGAAGACCTCGTATAGACACTTGTAATAGACCTTGTATAGACCTTGTAGTTGTATATACAATCGGTCGCACAGCCTGGTCGGGCTAGCAACAAATATGTCCTATGTTGTCAGAAAGGCGGGACAAAACGTCCTTTAACCGAGGGTACTCACCTGGTTTTTAGTGTTTCTCACCATTTCAATGCTCGCGTATTACGCCCGCCATATCACTTAGATTCAGTCTGCTATGGCCCTCAAATTTCTGTTCCTATTTGCGCGCGTAATTTACGCACTCATACTACTTTGTATCCAGAAATAAATGCATCGTAGTGGCGCCATCTAGCAGAGGAAAAAGGTGGTTTTTAAACCTGGATGTTGTAGCATGATTTGGGGCCCAATGATGATATAACAGCTGTCCACATGTGCACGTGTTGCACATTGCGAAAATGCATTGCCATTGGGGTCACCTAATACATCATTGAATCAGATTTGGCCTAGCTCCAAGAAACGGTCTTGCTAGGGATAGAAGACCGTCGGTATTCTAAAGGTAGGGGCACACAAGCGTATTTTTTCGCCCGATCGCGGCGAATTTTAAAATCGCTCGAAAAATTCACCCGTGTGCCCGTTCACGTCGACGAATCGCCCGTATCAGAAATGTTAGATATTTTCGGCCGATTATTTACGCCGGCGATTATTTACTGGCAAATTCGCTCGTGTGCCCGTGTCCGGCGTATTTTGTCAAGCGATCGATTTTTTTAAACCAATCGGACGTGTTGTTGGTATCATGTGATGCATCATGTGATTCCGTCGAGAGGCGTACGCGTACGCTCTCAAATTCGCTACGTGTGCCCCTTCGTGATCGGGCGATTAAATTCGCTACGTGTGCCCCTTCGTGATCGGGCGTATAAATTCGCTGGCGATTTTAATCGTCGCGATTGGGCAAAAAAATACGCTCTTGTGCCCACGGTTTTAGACCGTCGTTCTTGAGCCCGGCGCACACGTGAGTAATTTTACTCAAGTAAAATGACGCACGAGTCATTTTACTCACGTGTGCGGCGGATTTTCGCATGCGTCATTTTACTCAATATCAAACGTGTTTGATAATTTTTGACTCATGCGTCATTTTAATCAACGTGTGCGCGCGCGCTGAGTAAATTTACTCAACACTGGTACTCCCAGCGCATACGTTTAAATCATTGTGCGCCCATGCAGTATTGGCTGCGCACAGTCACGTTATCTGCATTACCACTTACACCTTAAATAATTTACTCACGTTTGCAGCAGACGCTGAAAATATGACGCGTGAGTAAAATTACTCTTGTGTCATTTAACTTGAGTAAAATTACTCACGTGTGCGCCGGGCTTTATAGACAATCGGTCGCACAGCCTGGTCAGGCTAGATTTGGCCTAGACCGAATAATTCTGTCCCAGATAACCTTTTTTATATTTTGGTGAGGGTTATTGGCCAGTATAACGCATCCAAAATATAAAACGTTATCTGGGACAGAATTATTCATCTGGATTTGACCCTGATTTCGTCTGTCAATGTTGAACTTAGTCCGAGCCGACGCAGACCCCAGTAATGGGGTCTAAAAAAAACCGGTAAATAATGCTCATATAGGGTCTATGTCCCCCAGGGTACCGCCGGAACGTTCCCTGGTAACTATCTGATATGGTTAGGGTTAGGCAGGGGCGTGTACAGGGGGAGGGGGTCCAGGGGGTCCGGACCTCCCCCCCCCTGCTCGCGCAGAAAACGCATCTAAGGGGTCTAATTTCAAAAAATGTCTGACCCCCCCTTCGCGTGCTCGCAAGTTTGGGATACGGTTAGACCCCCCCCCCCTGGTACAAATCCTGTACACGCCCCTGTTAGGGTTAGGGTTAGGGTTAGGGTTAGGGTTAGGGGGCTCAGGGATAGAGAAGATGTCCAGTCCTATCTTATCAACTAAAATCATCCTATCCAATCACCGTACTGGACATCATCTCTATCCTTGAACCGGGTTAGGGAGTAGGCGTAGGCGACTCCCTAGACTCGTTAGTGGAGTAGGCGAGGTACGGTCCGGCATATTAGATAGTACCAGCAGAGCATATAAGCAGCACGCAATGCACGCCATGTGTACGTGCATATGCAGGTACGCACGCGCACGTGTACATCCAAACGCATGCCAGACGCACGCAAGCACGCGCGCATCGCACATACGGAGTGTGCCCTGCACACGCACGCACAGCACGTACGCACCATGCACGCCAGGTGTACGTGGCACAGACGGGACAACGCACGCACGTATATCGTGCATACGCATCGCTGGCACGCTCGCACGCACCGTGTACGTGCACACCACGCACACACGTGTACGCTTGACATAGCACGCCACGCACGCACCGCACGTGTACGTGAACACGCACGCACTCACACACGCAACGCAGGCACGCAACGTGTCGTTCACACGCACGAGCACGCACGCAACATGTGTACGTTCACACGCAACGCACGCAGCACCGTGTAAACGTTCAACGCACGCACGCACGCACGTGTACGTTCACACTGTCACGCTACGAAGCACAGCACGTGGTACGTTTCACTACGCACGCACTCAACGTGTACGTTCACACGCATTGCAGGCACCCACGTTAACGTTCACAGCACGCACGCGGTGCGCTAGGCACGACGAACGCACGTGTAACGTACACCGGCACGCACGCGCGCACTCGTGACGTCACACGCACACAATGCACGCAACGAGTGTACGCACGCACGCGCGCACGCAAGCACGTATACGTGCACACGAACACCGCCAGCGCGCGCACGTACGCACACGACGCCGCACCGCACGTTTTACCGATACACACGCACGAAATGCCATGGCACGCAGGTGTACGTGCACACGCACAGCACTGCAACGTCTACGTGCACATGCATCAGCACAGCACGTATCAACACCGGCAGCGTACGGCACAACGCACTCATGCACACACGTGTACCTTGCCACGCAGCACGCAATGCCCGCAAAACGTGTGCGTGCACCACGAATATAAATTTGAACAATGTCATTGGCAGATGAAGAGAGAGGAAGATTTTTTAGGAAATTAAAAAGATTTAGGTGAAAAATTAAAAGAAAACAGAACGGAGGGGAAGAATTATTTTACAAGAAAGATTAAAGAAAGATTTTTTTTATAGTTTTTTTATAAAAGGATTAAAGATGAGAAAGAGAGGAGCAGCAGTGATGGAATGAGGATTTTTATAACAGAAGAAATTTATTGTTTTTTTTTATTTTTTTTTTTTTTTTTTGTTTTCAGAGAAATTATTGTTTGCCGAAATAATAGGCCTATACTGAAGTATAAATATATATTTTAAGTTTTGAAAAGTATTTTTAAGCTCTAAAAGGCATCTTGGTGTCATAAATTTTTAAAATTTCTTGGGGTAGGACCCCTCAAACCCCCCTTTTGACGAGGGGGGAAACCACCCTAAAGAGGCTCCCCCGCTAACGGCTGCGCCGGGCAGCACGTGGCCGTCGACAGTCTGTTATTGACTGCTAAATGGCCTGAACCAATTTTATGCTTACGCCGCCCCGAAATTTTGAAGATCGCCAATACCCGTATAAGCTATGGAAGAAAATTGAGCAACGGCGATTGGCTAGAATGTTTAGGACACGCCCATATCGCACGCTACACCATCGGCATCGCCGCATTTTTGCACAGGGGGCTTATTTTATTTTATTTCTTATTATTTTTGGCTAATTAATGTTTTTATTTTAGAATTAGGGTAGGGTAGGGTTACGGGTTAGGTTATGGATTCGGTTTAGGGTTATAATTAATTTAGGTTTAGGGTTAGGGTTAGGTTTAACTATATTTCTATATCTGTGAATCATATTAATCTCAGTGGTCAAGCAGCTAGACCGGTTTGCTTTCGTGCCCGTGAGTGGCGCGTTCCGAACGCCATATGGTGTTATTTTATTTTCTTAACTGGCGTTATGTATTCTATTGTATTTTATTTGTTCTAGCATTATTTTGTTCTGTAACTTTTGTTTAATGTTCTGAATTAAATATATTTCTTTAAATAATATTAGCTTTATAAATTTAATAATATTAGCTTGTTGACTAATAATGCGTGTCCTAAAATTTTTCTAACGCCAATGACGTTCGCTCAATTTTTCTTCTCAAAGCTATAACGGTTTGGGAAATCGCAAATGTCGCCGCCGGCCCTGCTACTTGCTGTGCTATAGATCTATATCCGACTCTGACCCCCTATACTTACAAGCATCTGGGTCCGGGATTTTGGGTGTCATTACTAATAGCGACCTTCGCTGGAAAGCACAACATGCCATTGATTATATTTCTAAGAAAGAGTCTCGTTCCTTTGGTATGAATTACGGCGTAAATTAACCTTATATAGCTTAGCCGATTCTAAAACTCGGTCCCTTGCGTTCTATGATTCGCTATTGCGCTATTGCGCTATGCTATATTCGCATTGCGTCCCTATGATTCTCCCCATATTGCAGGCCCGTAGCCAGCTTTATATTGGGGGGGGGGGTTCGTTTTTCAATGTTGGCAATTTGCTC